CCCTCTCCCTCTCTGCGCCCCTACATCTTTCTCTCTCTCTCTCTCATACACATACGCGCTCGCGCACCGCGGAAACAGGTGATGCTGCTGCTGAGGAAATGACGGCACGTTAGGGTTGGGGTGGGGTGCGTCCTCCTTCGCCTTAGGCGGGAAGCTCAGGGCGGCCCGCGCGGTCTGAGGAGGCGTGTGGTGGTCCGAGCAGGGTCCCAAATGGCCGTGGCTCGGTCCAACAAAGGCCTTCTTGATGCACGTCATTTCTCGCTCCGCCTTGCCCTCGGGCAGGGCGGGGCTTCGGCACCACGTATGTGTCGGCCGTGACCCACCCTTATCAAACATAGGCAACCGGGAGCCAAAAACAAATTCCTACAATTGCACCAAGCAGGCGGGAAAGCTGGCGCTCCGATCATGGATCTACTCGACCTAACCGCGACTTTTGGCCAATCGTTACAACCTCTCTCTTTCGTTTGTAATTTGTTTCAAAATGACTACTGAAGCCTGTGACTTGTCCCCCGCAGCTTCCTGCACGACGTCACGGAGCGCAACAAGCTGGTGCGGCTGAACGGTGACGGCTCCATCACGTACGGGATGCGCTTCACCACCACGCTGGCCTGCATGATGGACCTGCACTACTACCCGCTGGACAACCAAAACTGCACCGTGGAGATCGAGAGCTGTGAGTCGTCTCGCGCGTTATTGTTTTACCGTTCCCTACAACGTGCTATTTCAGAGGACTGGGGAAGAAGAATACCACGTATAGCAAGGTGGCCCGAGATTCGTAGCCCCCCCCCTGTTTATTGTTCCGTTTTTCCATCCCAGTTCTTTGAAATGGCTTACTGATAACATCAGTATTAAACCATGATCTAGTCCTGCCTATAGATCCAAATTGTACACACAAAGCGCATATGTGTGCTAAAAGAGGCGTTTGCGTTAAGGAGCGACACGAATATACACCAGTTTCAGCAACATACAACATAGCGCTCCCTATAGCGCCCGCGCGTCAGGCACGCCCGCAGGACGCGTCTGCGAAGCGGGACTGCCTACCTCACGCCTTGCAGGGGCCCCAGCAGGCAAGCCCGCAGGGCAGTCCTGCAGAGCGGGCCTGCCTATCTCACCCCTTACAGGGGCCCCAGCAGGCACACGCCTGCAAGACGCACTTGCTGAGCGGCTTGCCTACCTCACGCCTTGCAGGGGCCCCAGCAGGCAAGCCCGCAGGGCAGTAGGGCAGTCCTGCAGAGCGGGCCTGCCTACTCAACGCCTTGCAGGGGCCCCAGAAGGCACACTCCTGCAAGACGCGCTTGCTGAGCTGGTCTACCTACCTCACTCCTTGTAGGGGCCCGAGCAGGCACAGCCGCAGGTCGCTTTTGCTGAGCGGGCCTGCCTGCATCACTCCTTGCAGGGGGCCCCACCAGACACGCGCGCAGGACGCTCCTGCTGGGCGGGTCTGCCTACACATACTTCACTTCTTGCAGGGGCAGCCGAGCTGGCAAACCCCGAGATTCAGGTTGCTCCTGGTCGGCTGGCGTGCCTACCGCACTCAGTTCTCCTTTCTCCTTGTTGGACAACAATAGAGGCGATACTTTCCCTGTGTTTATCTCGGCATGGAGCCTGGACTTGAATCTGTGATCGAGGATGCAATCGGCGAGGCAATCGAGCCTTCCGCGGACGATGATGTCCCCGCCCGCGTCAGCACTAAGAGTAGTGCCAAGGCCGGCGGCCGTAAGAGGCCGATCCGCAGGAAGAGGAAGAAGGCCCAGGAGCGGCACCCGGAGCCTCAGGAGGCTGACGAGAGGCCGTCGCCTACAACACCACCCCAGTCGTTGACTTCCTTCATGGCGCTCGCCGCCGACTTCGAGGCCGCCATCGATGACCTCGAGCAAGTTGGTGGCCTTCGTCGGTAACCTCTATGGGCAGAGTATCCAAACGCGGCGCGGTGCAGGGATGTGTTTCGGATGTCCTTCGCAGCGCGAGGGCTGGGAGAACCTGCACACCGAGTTCTTGCGGGTGTTCCGGCGGCTCGAGGAGGTGGAGTCGCGTGAGGCTGGCCTGCAGGCGCGCGTGGACGCGCTGGAGGGCGAGCTGGAGGTGGCGCGCCGCGCGCTGGAGCCGCCTGCACGGCTGCGGGCGGACAGTGCTCGCGTCGCCCAGCTCCAGGACGAAGTGGTTCGGCTGCGCGCGCAGTGCGACTCGGCCTCCGCACGCGAGCACACGGCGCTGGAGACGCTGGACGGCTTGCGGCGCCACCTGGTGCTGGTCCAGCAGGAGCTCCACCAGGCGAAAGGGCTCAAGGAGGACTCCCAGGGCATGGAGCACGAGAAGAAGTCCGCCAAGCTGCAGCGCGAGCGCGACATCCTGCTGATCCGACTGGCCGCGTTGAACGAGCGCCTGGCCAAGGCGCAAGACCTGCAGGCCGAGCTGCAGCGCTCCGCCTCGGAGAAGGACCTGCACTTGGGCAAGGTGCAGCAGCAGCTGGCGCACGAGGTGGAGCGCAAGCAGCGCGAGATGGACGCGCGCGCGACCCTGGAGGCGGCGTACCGCGCGCTGCAGTCCGAGGTGGAGGCGCGGCGGAACGAGCTCAACCACGTGGAGCTGCAGCACAAGACGGCGGCCATCAGGGCGGCCTGCCTGGAGAGCACCGTCGCGCAGCTGGAGGAGGCCAACGACGGCCTGACCAAGGAGTCGGCCGACCTGGCGCAGCGCGTGGCCGAGCTCAAGTCACTGCTGCGGCGCCGCGGTCTGGAGCTGGACAACGCGATGGCCAGCTGTCAGGGAGTGGCGGGCGAGATGCAGCACCTGGAGGGTTCCCTCGCCGCGCTGGAACAGAAAGTAGGCGTGGCTGCTGCTGCTGCTGCTGCACGGATGAGTCAACGATGAGACGATAACTTGGTAGAACTTTTGATTCCTCGAGGTGTCGGCGTCGGAGAGCATGAACAAGGCCCTCGGCGGGGACCTGGAGCGAGCGCGCGGGCGCGTCTCGGCCGTCCTGGCGGACTTGGCGCGGTGCAAGGCGGAGGGGCGCACCACTCAGCGCTGCCTGTCGGAGGCGCAGGCGCAGCTCGCCACGCGCGAGCGGGACGTCCGCGGCCTGGACGCGAACAGGGCCGCGCTCGTCGCCAGGATCACCCGCCTCACCGCCGAACTCGGTGAGCAGGTCAACGTGGTCGCCAAGAAGAACGCGTACATCAAGGAGCTGGAGCGGAGCCTGGAGGAGGAGCGCGGCGCGCAAGAGCGGCTGCTGCAGAAGGTGCGTGCGGGTCTCGGTGGGGTAATCCACGGGACGCCAGGGGGTAAGCTCGGGTTGGTAATCTGGGATGTGGCGTAGACCGAGGGCATGCGCCACGCGCGCGACCGCCTCGCCGTGGAGCTGAGCGTGGCGCGGCGTCGGCTGGACGGCGAGGCCGAGTACGCGGCCGACGAGAGGCGCGCGGCGGAGCGGGCCAAGCGCGACCTGGCGGACGTCAAGGCCGACCTGTCACGGCTCAAGCTGAGGCAGGACGCCAACGAGAAGCAGACCATCATACTCGGGCGGCAGAAGGCGGTCGCCATGGAGCGGGAGGATGATATGAGGGAGCAGGTTTGAGCCATCCTGTTCTCTTCAGCCAAATATGTGTCGTGCCCTGGGTCTGCACGCACGTGACTTCACTGCCCACTCAGGTGAAGGCGCTCACGCAAGTCGTCGAGCAGGTCCAGGAGGTGGTCGCCAAGCGCGACCGGGAGCTGGTCGCGGAGCGACGGCAGCGCGCGTTGCTGGAGACGGCGCGCTCCGAGCTGCAGGACCAGGTCGACCGCCTGCAGGTCGACGTGGGCCGCCGCCTCGAAGAGCTGACGGAGCAGCGGCTCGCGCTCAAGCTGTGCAGCGACACCGTCGCCGAGCTCACGCTGGACCGCGACGCGGAGGTCAAAGGGAGGCTGACGGCCCTGAGCGAGCGCGACGTGATCGGCACCCAGCTCGCGCGCCGCAACGACGAGGTCAGCCTGCTGCGCCGCAAGGTGGACACGCTGGAGCGAGTGCTACAGGCGGGCGGGCGGGAGCTGACGCGCAGCCAGGACGCCGTCCGCCTGCTGCGGCTGGAGGTGGGGCGGCTCCGCTGGGAGCGGCAGCTCCTCTCCAGGAGCCTGGCGAGCATGCCGAGGCTGGAGCGCGAGCTGTACCACGCCGTGCAGGTATGCGCGTCTTCAAAGAAAACTACTATTAAAAAACTTTGATAATATTCTTCAGAAAGTTGTAAATCAAACTCGAAGAAATGAGGGGAAAAATCATATTTATTGGGTCAACATTGACACAACATTCCCATCTCGCACCCGGGGCGCAGGACGTCGTGCGCTCACAGAACCTGGCGCGCGCCCTGGAGGACGAGCTGAGCACACCGGTCAACTTCCACCGCTGGCGGCGCCTCGAGGGCCACGACCTGCCGCACCTGCAGCTGCTCGTCAAGGTGCGGCAGCTGCAGCGGCGGCTCATCAGCCGCCAGGAGGTCGTGCTGCAGCTGGAGACGCGCGTGCGCGAGACGGAGGCGCTGTACCTGCAGCTGCGGCAGGCCTTTCTGCGCCAGCCGGCCGCCAACCCGACTACGGTAATAATGTCCGCCGCCAATAGATGTTTGTTTACTCGCCCTTAATGACTAGACAAAAAGTGTTTTATTTTAAGCTTTTAGACCGCGTCCTTTAGCTTCCTGGTATATGGTACATTAACCAAATGCCGTGCTTTGCCACGGCACGCCCAGCCCGCCCCTCACGAGTGTTTTTCCTTCCCCCGGGCGCTGCAGTTGATGCTGACTCGCGCTGCGCTGCAGGACAAGGAGCGCAAGATCAAGGGCCTGTTGGCCGAGGTGAGCCTCAGCGGCCCCACCTACACGCGGCTCGAGAAGGCCAACAGCAAGCCCAAGGGCGCCGCGGCCAGGACGCGCGCGCCCGGCGGCCCCGACGGTGGCCGGCTCCTGGCGAGCCGAGCCCCGGTCCTGGCCCCCGTCAGCTGACGACGGGAGGCCCCACGGCCAGGAACCGTCGACATTCGCGGAAGCCACAAGGTGTTCCGGCTGGGCTTCGATGTTTTCATTTGTTTGTCCTGTCCACCTCACTACTTGACTGATTTTGTTTTCGATCGCTTTATCTTTATCGACAATCAGCGGGAAGCTGTGATTGTTTTTAGCTAATGTTTTACATATTTGTAATTTTTTTTAATTGTCTGTCTTGCCTTTTGTAATGTGTTGTAATGACCGCGCCTCTGCACTGAGTCTGAAAACAAGTGTTTTGTGTTTCGATAATAAAGTACAATAGTAATTAATTAAGAAAAGGACTTGACGCTCTGACGATGGAATAGTGACGATGACAGTTTCCCTTTTGTCTACGCATTCTGGGACCCAACAGGTGGGTGCCCTTATCTGCATAACTCGTCTTTTACGACACTTGTTGAACTCCGAGGCGCCGAGTGTCTCCAAAAGGGCTCCAAGGCGTGAACTGGACTCCCCCACCCCTCCCCGCGCCCGTGCCGCTCCCCCATCTGCGCTGTAGATAACAATGACCACTCTGATAACAATAGTTTCGACAGTCGCGTAGCAAATCCTCCGTGTCCTCCCGATTCATCCTTCGTCTTCGTCTCCACTAAGCATGCTGCCCCACAAGAAGCCCAAGAAGCGCCCCAAGTCAAAGAGCCCGTCGCGTCCCGTGGGCGAGGGTGACGGCGGCGACGGCGAGGGCGATGTTCCCGCGGAGGAGCCTGCCGCTTCCTCGCCGAGGTCAACCGAGTCCCCCAAGTCACCTGGGCGCCCCAAGACACCACGGGGCCGCAAGAGGACCAAGTCGCCTGGGGCCAGAAAAAAAAGTAAGTCGCCCGGAGGTGGGAAGAAGAGCAAGTCGCCCGGGGGTAGGAAGAAGAGCAAGTCGCCCGGGGGTAGGAAGAAGAGCAAGTCTCCTCAAGGCAGGAAGAAAAGCAAGTCTCCCAAGGGTAGGAAGAAGAGCAAATCCCCTAAAGGTAGAAAGAAGAGCAAGTCGCGAAGTCGGAGCCGAGGCCAAGAACATGAGTCGGAGCAGGAGCCTGAACCCGAGAAAGAACCATGGCGGCCGCGGTCCGACTCTCAGGTACACCAGCAGCTGCTACTGCTACAACGCCAGCCGTGACTGTCGCTTCAAGTGCGTGTGGTGTGAGGTCTCTTGTGTGCACCGCCTCTCCTTTACCACTAGGTTCCCGACTACGAGGCTATCCACGTCACCGAGTCCCTCTTGCCGGTCCGGGACGAGTTCCTCGTCGTCCTCGAGCACCTGGCCGTGGACGAGAGACTCAAGAACTACACGAGCGAGTTCATTCGCCTGTACGAGCGGCTCGCAACTGCGCACGACGTGAAGCGCGAGATGGTCGCCGCCGTGGACGAGCAGGGCACCAGGCTGGCCGAGGCGGAACGCGTCGCGGCCAGGTAAGACGCCAACGTGACTGTCGGGAAAGCCATCCACCCTCAACTGACCCGCGCGTTCTTGACTACCACCTCTACTGACCAGGACAATGGAGCAGGTGCAGCACGAGAGCGAGGAGGTGGCCTCGCTACGGCGGCAGGTTGAGCACCTGCAGCGGGAAGTCGACGCCAGCCGGCTGCGCGAGCTGGACGGCAAGAGCATGATCGAGAACCTGCGAGAGGAGGTCGACCGCTACCAGGAGCAGATGCGACGCCACGTGGCGCCCGCGGAGGAGAACGAGGCCGCGGCGGACAACGAGCGCCTCAAGAAGGCGGTCATCAGGGAGATGGAGATGAGCGAGGATATAAAGCAGCTGAAGAAACAGCTCGGGGAGATGTATCAGGTTCAGGAACAACTCCACAGGACGAACTCCACCGCCAACATCCAGGTGGGCTTTTGTGTGTTACACATCCTGGCAGCGCAAGACCACCGGCTCTAGTCGCGATCGCTTCGGCGCAGGTGGTGAACCTGGGCGAGAAGCTGCAGCAGATGACACAGGACATGCATCGCGAGATGCGGCTCAAGGAGAAGCTTGAGGAGGAGATGGAGGTTCTGGCCGCGGAGCGGGAGGAGCAGGTCGGCAAGGAGGGGGAACTCACCGCGTCGCTGCGGGCGGCCGAGCGGAGCGTGGCCGCCCTCACGCAGACCGTCAAGGAGCAGCGCGCCGCCGCCGACCGGCTGGCCAAGGACAACGACGGCGTCCTCCAGCGCCTCCAGGAGCAGCGGCGCACCTGCGACCGCCTGCACGCCGACCTGGAGAAGGTGCGCCAGGACTACAAGGACAAGACGTCGGAAATCGTTCGGCAGGAGGACATCATCAACAAGCTGCGCACGGAAGTGAACAAGGCCCGGCACAGCCTCAACAGCGTGTTCAGCCGCCTCGGCACGCAGCTGCAGAAGAACCGCCAGGTCAGACTGTTCAACTGCTCCAACTTGTTTTGAAAAATAATAATCGAAGATTTTGCATACACATAGATTTACTGAGTACAGAGATTTGTGTTTTTAACACCCCCTGCTGGTCGGCGGTCCCTAGGTAGAGACCCAGCGCGAGGAGTTGGCCCTCAGCGTGAAGGCCCTGGGCCGCGAGCTGGACAAGACGCAGCAGGACGTCGACCACGAGAAGAGGGAGGTCGCCGACCTCCAGATGGCCAGGGACATCCTCGTGTCCAAAGTGGTGCGCGGCGAGGAGAGCTTCAAGACGGCGGCCAACAGCCTGATCGTGCGCGAGCGCCAGTGCCGCGGGCTGGAGGCCGAGCTGGCGCAGTACGCGGGCGAGGCCGTCAAGCAGCGTCGCCTCATCGCCAAGCTGGAGCAGGAGCGCGAGCAGCTGCACGCCGACAAGGCCGACCTGGCCAAGCAGCTGGACATCCACATCGAGCAGCAGCTGCAGAACCAGCGGGAGGTGCAGCGCTACAAGCAGGAGTGCGCCGACATGGAGAGCCAGCTCAAGGCGCAGGTACTTTTCTACGCTCGGGGCAGGGTGTGGGGGTGGCGCCGCTGTCCCAACGACCCTCACCTCCGCCTCTGTCGTGCCAGATCACCCTGACGGACGCCACCGTGCTGGAGCGCAACAAGTACCAGAAGCTGCACGAGGAGGCCCGCACGGTGCGCGACGACCTCCGGGAGCAGGCGCAGGTCTCCTCGGCCGAGCTGGAGCAGCTCCGCGAGAGCATCACCATGCACGAGCGGGAGGAGACGCGCATGGCGCGCGCGCTCGCCAAGGCCGAGGGGGACAAGGCGTGCATGGCGCGCGAGGTGAACGGGCTGCAGCTGCGCACGCGCCAGCTGCAGGGCGTCATCGCCGGCCTCGAGAAGACGGAGGTCGGCCTGAAGCGGAGCATCGTGGAGCTGGAGGGCGAGCGGGACGGGCTGAGGCGGGAGCTGCGCGGCGTGTGCAACGAGCGCGACATCATCGGCACGCAGCTGGTGCGGCGCAACGACGAGATCCACCTGCTGCTCGCCAAGATCGACGTGCTGCAGTCCATCCTCACCAGCGGCGAGGAGGAGTACGTGCAGCGCCTGGACGACATCCGCCTGCTCAAGATGGAGGTGCGCAAGCTGCGCCAGGAGAAGGTGCTGCTGCAGCGCGACCTGGTGTCGGGCGCCGACCTCCGCCGCGAGCTGTACCACCTGTCCAAGGACCTCACCTTCGAGAAGCAGAGGCGCGCCGCCCTCGAGGCCGAGCTCAAGACCCCCATCAACCTGCACCGCTGGCGGCGCCTCGAGGCCTCCGACCCGGCCTCGCTCGACCTCATCACCAAGGTGAACCTGCTGCAGAAGCGCCTGCTGTCGCAGCACTCGATGCTTCTCGCCAAGGAGCGCCAGCTGCAGGACGCGGAGAAGCTGTACCTGGCGCTCCGTACCAGTATGGTGAAGCTCCCCGGGCCCGACGTGCTGCTCAGACTCAAGGTATGCTTTTGAGGAGCAGTGTGGGATTTCCTAAGCGTACAACCATACTTGACACTGAGAATGTGTGACGCGCCCGCGGTCCTCCAGGACGCCCAGAACACGCTCGAGCACCGCGCCAGGAAGATCAAGTCGCTGTTCGCCGAGCTCAGCATGACGGAGGCCACGGTGCGCGACTACCGCGTCGACCTGAACCGCGCGCGCGAGGAGCTGGCCGACTTCAAGTCCATGTACTTCACGGCCAAGAAGAAGCTGGACGCGCTGGGGCAGCCGCTCTCGCTGGACAAGGACAGGGACGGCGCCCTGCCGCCCATCGCCCGGACCCGGAGCAATCTCCGCTCTGTGAGGCTGGCCTGAGCGCCGACTGCCAGGTCAGCGGGCTGCCCGTCTTATCTCGCCATGCACTTTGTCTGAAGGCGGAAAAAGTCTTCCCCCCCTCGCGCTCTAAACGCGACGAGCGGCAATATACACAGCCGAGAGTCGAACCCTACTCCGCACGCCGTAACCAAACGGGGTTCTCGCGTCTTTCCTTTGCTGCGCCCCGTACCGGTCAGCAGTGTTGCGGGCGTGCGTACTCCAGGGGCCATGAGCGAGTAGGCAAACCAGCACACGGCTTTGTCGTGTCGTTGCCCGGAATTCCCCGACACACGGTACAAGACAAGCGTGGTTATCTCCAGTATGTCTCCCTCCCAAACCCCGACATGCGACCAGCTATTCTCTCCGCGACGTCCTTCCGAACGAATCAGCCAAACGTACGACTGGTTATGGTTCTGTTACTGAAAGATCATCCCCATGAAAAGGCACAATTTGTTCGCCTGATTTGTCACATACTTTTACTCAAACGGGTCTTTCCCTCCAAATGAAAGAGGATGCTTTCACTGTACACCTTGACCTTGCTGCCCCTCCCCCCCCCTCTCTCTCTTTCTCGCTCACCCCCTCTCGATCTCGTCGTTCTCGCACTCTCTCTACTCTCCACACACGCAGCCCTCTCTCTCTCCCTGGCTGCTCCTGGTGACTGGACGGCCCGCTCGGCTGGCCACTCATCTGCGTTCTCGCCCCCGCCCCCCGCCGCCC